CTTCCTTAACTGAAAAATTTCTTCTGGTTGTACTTTTCCGTCTCCCCCATCATTGTTATTATTATTATTACACTACCTTACACTAATCTGGTCGTTATTGTTCTTTTTTTTCTTTTACGCTCCTTACCCTCTTTTTTTCTCTTCCCATTCTCATTGTTTTGTGTGATGCATATATAGTTGGTGCTTTCTTGTACCAATATTTATGTTTTCAAATAAAATAAATAAAATATAGCTTCGTACTTGTTGGGACCTAAACACCGGAGACGGAAATCCGTGGGATGAGGCGAGATGTGTATTTTTAGGGTTGAACTTTTCTAACCCCACCCTTCCTTGTGGGAAGGCAGCATCGCTGTTATGCTGGTTGTCTGAAGGAAACATATTACTGACGTCACACCTCTGTATAGTCAGTAGTACGACTTCGCCCTCAGACTTTGGGTTTGCTGCTTTTAGTCTTATCGCTTTTCAACTGACCTGTCTGGCATGGTAGGACCTTGAGGGACGATTGTTCCAGCCAGTATAGCTCTATTGGTTTTTTACGATAGTCAAGCCCGACCACCACATCAAGGTAGCCGCAACGGTCGGCTACTGAAATACTGTTTACAGCTCTTAATTTATCCCCAATTTATTAGCTACAGTCTCTGAAACTCACAGTCACTTTTGACTTGATCTTGTATAGTTATTATTTTCCATTTTGTTATGATGAGACCTGGTCTAATTGTATATGAACCACGTATATCGGAAATATACGATTCACATAGAGATGGCTGGTATTTGTGTTTTGAAGTGATCGGGTTGGGCTAGGCGAGAAGCTACTGTACAGAGGACCAACAAGGATACAAAGTTTACTCAAGGCTGCTAATAGTGTTTGACGTGTTATTTTGGTTTCTCACAGAAACAAGGTTATAGAAGTCGATATTCTAATTGGCGATTTTGTCACATGGAATTTCACGGGTCATAGGGTATAAAAAACCCATTGTTTGATACAAATTCGTGTGGTTTGTTTTGAGCCACACTTTGCATATACGGGCTAGTGACACTATCCAGTTGAATAAATTGAAATGGGTGGAGCGAGATTTCAACCTGCAACTTAGTGGAAGAAAGTTGAACTCCTTAACCACTGACCCACCATTTCATAGATGATATGAATAGGGACATAATCCGAGTAAGGCAGTTTTGAAATATAAATAATATAAATACAATAAATTCTTCACGTACTACTAAGACTAACCTCAACAAAAATAAAAAGTAAAAAAATGTAGTGTTGATGCTTTCATAAAGCTAGGCATCAACTGTTAAGAGACTAGTCTAGAGAATCGTTAGACATTCCCTTATTTTATTCTTTGAGATGGTTTGTAGGAGAAGCGATGGTTTAGTGGTGAAAGTATTCAATTTTCAATTAAAGTTCAAAATTCAAGCTACGTCCGATGCAATTTACTTTGGATAGCCGAATATTGTAGTTAAATCTTAATAGTGAAACGTGTGACTTAAAGTCTAATGGATTACGTTAAACTTAGTGCGTGAATTATAGCAGAAACTGAACTATTCGATGCTAAACTTTACTTAAAGTTCACCCATTTTAACACAACTGTCTATATCTGTACTTACAAATGGGGCTGCAATTCTAGAATATTTTTCTCTTAAAAAACCCTGTATTAACAAATAATGAGACGAACTGGATGAATTGAAGACGGGTCTAAAGATATTAGATGGTAACTACCAACTGTCATTTGGCTTCAATAATTTTCATATTCACATCCATATTATCACATTCCTTATGATACATTTGATTGGCATAAAGTAAAATGTTGACGACCTAAAAATAGTCATGAATGTGTAAAAACGTCACTGGTTTAAATTTTCTTCTGTTTATTGATTTACCTCATTAAAGATATATGGTACAATAAAATTAATTGCATATATCTTTCATTTCCACTGATTTCAACTCTAAACATAACACAAAGATTTGATGACTTTAAGAACTTATCTTTGATGGTCTTTATAGTTAAAATGTTCAGTAATAATAAAACACTTATAGTCTTCAAAAAATAGATACGACTGGTGATAGACGACAGAAAAAGAAACAGTATATAT